TGTGGTCAGCTTCATCGTTGGCCAGGGTGACGTGGTGGTGAACCTGCTTTAGCAGGGCATTAATTTGCATTCCATATACTCCAGGATCGTCACTTGTGATTTCTTTTCTGTGTAGTGTAGGTAGGCCGATGTTGGGGTGACGGCCAGTAATAGCATAGTGCTGGGAGACAGCGGTGGCGCTGTTGGTCGTGGTATTCATGGACGAAACGACAGATTCTAGAACGTCTGTCCATTCACAGTTCCTGTCTTCGCATTACGTATAAAGTGCGTTCTTCATCGTGCGATGTTGTCTCTCGATATTTCCTGAGCTTTGCTGGCGCCAAGGACAGTGAAGTTCCTGAGTGATTGACATCTGGTTACAGAATTGTCGATAGACTTCTCCAGTGAAGTGTGTGCCTCGATCAGAGGATACTATGCGTGGAATCTCTCTGTGTCGAAGGAAGAACTGGTACAATCCGCGGGCGGCATCGATGGCACGGTCTCTCGCGCATGGTATGGCTGTAAAGTGTTGGCTGAAGCTATCCAAGATGGTTAGGATGTAGCGTTTTCCCTTTGAGTTGGGCATTGTGACAAAGTCTATAAAGACGAGATCGAATGGTCTCTTTCCTCGTTTGCAGTGTCCAATGGGCTGAAGTGGGTACGTCTACCGTAGTTGCCTTGCACTTAGCACGTGTCGCAAGAATCGACATAGGCCTTGATGTCGCGGTTTTTGAATTCCACCAGTAGCTGGAAGGGTTCTCGCATACGGGTAACACCTGGTGGTTGTTGCCCTCATGTGCCTGGTAGAATTATCTGGGTCGTAGTTTTATGGTACAACCAATCTCGGAGAGTGTTTACTGTCTCTTATCATCAAAACGGAGGTGCCTGGTTCTAGAAAACATTGGTGTAAATGTTTTTTGAAAAGTGTAGCTCGGTGGTCGTCAGGATCGATATGAGGTTCGCTTGGAGTGGGTGACTGGCGGGCGCTGAGGATCTTTGCCAGGGCGTCGTCCTTCTGTTGTTCATTTGCGATGCCGAGGTGGTTGCAGATTCTCTCAGTGGGGATTGTGGTGGTAGAGTGATAGGCAAAGAGTGCGTTGGTGACGCGCTTGTGGGTGCGGGCGTTTTGTGGTGCATGAGTTTTGGGAATGAGCTGTAAACCGTTAAAATCGCCGAGGCACCAAGATGGGATGTATACGCGGAGGTCTGAACCACTTACCTCGAATGTACTGCCTGCTGGTGTAGGGTCGTTCGGGGCTTTCGTTTTCTTATGTCCGCAACATCTGCTGAGCATGTCAGCCCATACATTTGATTCGCCTTCGACATATTCTAAGACGAATTTATAACATGAAATTTCTTCTTGCCATCGTCGTATTTTGGCATTATTGAAATCTCGTTGGTCCAGATATGTCAGCGATCTGTGGTCGGTGAAGATGACGAAGGGGCGGTTGCGAAGGAAATAATCAAATTTAAATATTGCCCACTTTATTGCATATGCCTCTCGTTCCGTCGTGGAATAGATCTGTTCCGTGGAGTTGAATGTATGGGAAGCGACCACTATGATATCTTTCTTCCCGTTGTCGGCTTCTTGCATTAAGATTGCTCCACATGCGACGTCACTGGCGTCGGTGGTGAGTGCGAAAAGTTTGGAGAAATCCGGAAACGAGATGAAGGGTGGCGAAGAGAGACGGTCCTTGATTTTTTAGAAAGCTCTGTCGGCATTTTGCGTCTAGATAAACGGTTCATTAACCTTGTTGAGTTCGTGTATGGGACCCATGAGTTTTGAAAACATATCTGACCTGATTTGTTCGTGAAGACGTTGTCTCTAGGAATTGTCTGATCCACACTAAACGGCCGATAAGGCTTTGTAATTCCTTTTTTGATGTTGGAGGTTTCATTTCCCTGATAGCACGAACGTATTCTGGATCAGCCTTGAATCCTTCGCTATTTACTATGCGTCCGAGGAATTTTGCCTCTGGTGCGAGGAAGGAACATTTATCGAGATTCAGCTTGAGTCCGAATTTTCGGAGGGCAGTAAAAAATTGTTCGAGGGAGAGTATGTTCTCCCTAAATGTCCTAGCGTGGACCAGGTTGTCGTCGATATAGGAAGAAATGTTGTTACGGGATGTGACCGTGGCAAGGGCTTCTGCTATGCAACGGGAGAAGATTTGTCCGACAGATGTAAGGCCGAAGGCCAGGCGCGTGTATTGATAGCATTGGTCCTTCCATGTAAATGCTGTTTTGTATCGGTCTCGCTTGTCGATCTCAATTTGCCAGTAGCCGCTGCGTAGATCGAGAGTAGTGAAATATCTATTGCATTTGCCGATTTTGTTGAACAAGTGGTCGATCCTTGGCATTGGGTAAGGGTCAAGATCAACTAAGACCTTGTTGAAAGTTATTTTAATGTTAGCGACGACGCGAATCAATCCGTTTCTCTTGCGTACGGCAAATACAGGGCTATTGAAGCCTTTGGGATCGCTGCAGTTTTCAATGATACCTTCAGCGGCCATGCGCTTAATTTCGGTATCAACGTCTGCTTCCAAAGCCTGGGCGATCGGGTGTTGTTTCTGGCTGCGAGACTGGCCGTTAGTTGGTATGCGGATGGGTCGGATGAATGTGCTTTCGGTGCCGATAACGTCAACGTAGCGGATGAGTAAGTTTGCAGTGGCCTCTAGTTCGTCTCGGTTCGGGTGGTTTGGTAGCGATAGTCCCGTGCTATGCTTTAGCCAGGTTAGCTTTTGATCCAGTGTCTGAATGTTGGGCTGTAGTTCCATAGTAGGCTGGTTTTGGATGACGTCAGCTTGGGCGCCATATGCTGGATTGTTGGTTGACGATGACGGTGATATGATTGCGGCTGTGTGTGTTGTATATCCTGAGGAAAGTGTGCGTCTGAATTCTATAGTCGCATTTTGGTTGTCGATTAGATAGGAATCGAGCGTGTTGTGACATAGGATATTTTGGCCGATCAGGATCGGTGTGGTTTGGGTAGTTACCAGCACGTTAACCTTTTTGAATGTGGGTGAGTCTCGACTGCCGATGGTGATGTCACAAGTCAGTTCGCTACGGGCGGTGGTGTTGCCGTTGATTCCTTTTACTACGACGTCGGAGCGGGTCATGTGTTTCTTGGCTTCTCTGGGTAACTGAGATATTGGTAAGATGCAGGTGGAACATTCAGAGTCTAGCATTGCGACGCCAGAGAAGGTGATGTCCCTGAAGTTGAAGGTGGACTGGACGAGCGGTGAATGGTGAGCGAGTCCTTGAAAGTTGAAGGTGTGATGGTTGACGTAGAGGCACGGCGAACGAGGCATCACATCTCGTCCTGCCCGAAGGGAAAATCCTGTTTCACATCATTTATGGCTTGTATATTATCATTCGTTGCGGCGATATGGGCCTGTGCCCGAGTGCGAGGTGGGTGGCGATATAGGTAGTTGCGTCCATGGAGGCAGGGGCGACCTCTGAGGCAGTTCTTGCACACGCTGATTCGTGGTGTGTGCTGATGGTTTCTGCGTGTCGGATGGTGGCCATGTTCGGGAGGTTTGGTGAGGCCCGTCTGCTGTGGGTTTGGTTGGCTGCTGGGTCGAAGTGGCGCGTTTCTTTGGTTTGACCGCTGTGGTTTCTGTGTGAAATATATAGTGTCGTGCGAAGTTGTGTCGTTGGATTTTACACCATGATCAAGGTATCTTTGAGCTTCGGAGGCTATGCCAATGGCTGAATAGTGGTTGTCTATTGTTTTGACAAGATGTGGGTAAAGATTTGAGTTCCAAATTTTCACCTTTTCGCTCATTAGCATAGCGCCGATGATGGAAATAAGTCCATCGACTGTTAAGTCTGTATTTTTGTCTTTTTTGTATTTGTTTTTTAAGTGGACGGCTGCCTCTCTAAGGGTGTTTTGGAGTCGACCCGCGAAGTCTGTTAATTTTTCGCCGTCTCGCCGTTCCAGATCACAGGCTTGACGTGGGCTGCTAATTCCTTCAGTTGTTCGAAGGTGGATATGTCTTTTTTTTTGAGTCAACCATCTGCTGAAAGATACTTTGGTCCAGTAAATCTTTAGCAGACTTGACGAATTCGCATTCCAGGCTGGGATAGGTGCTGAGTTCTGGCGTGACGTGGATTGTGTATGCTTTGTTTAGAGCCGTGATGAATCGGTTCACGTTGTGTCCAGGGTGAAAAGTTCTCTCTAGTTTCAATATGTCGCGTATAGTTTGTTGGCGCATCATTAAGCTGTAATCGCGGTTTTTTTTGAGCGGTGGGAGGTGTCAAAGTTGTTGATTTTAGGGCAGTCAGCATGTTGTCTATGTCGGCTTGAATTTCTTGTATCGTGTCTTCGAAAGGCTGTGTTGGTCCCGTTTTCAAGTTGAATATCAGTGTTTTCAGTTCCTTGATGAGAGTAAATAGTTCGGCTCGGGTGAAGCTCGTGTAGTCGTCCAAATTTCTCTTGCTGTACGCTTCTGACACCAGTGTTATAGACAAGCGTATGGTTGCAAGAAAGAAATACGTCAACAGCGGAAATAGATTTACGTGATTTATTTCAACAGGAACGTGTGGGTTTGGGACAGCTACCTTGTGGTAAAGTTCCTAAGCCGGCTTCGAATCTGGGTTGATCTCTCATAGTAGTTCACACTGGTTGGCTCTGGCGCTCCCCCGGCCGACTGCTGCTGACCGCTCAGCCTGACCGTGACAGGTCTCTTCCCAGGCCTCCTGTTCACTGCCCGTTGTACTTCCGTGTGACCCCTTTTATGGCGTTTTTTATGGCTTAACAGGCTCGAAAAACGACGCGAGTATAATTAGGAGGTAAGCATTTTTATTGGGCGAAAAATAGAAACACTTTTAAATATTATTTTATTTTTCGACCGGAACTCGTACGTCGGGAACATGCGTAAACGAAGATAATGGTCATTTTGTGACGGGGCCTTGTCCCGTTCACATCCGGCTCTCGCTCTTGAGTATGTTAGTTTATTTGCCTGTAAATCAGCCGAGATATGCCTTATTTTATTTTATAACATCTTCCTTCTTAACTTTAGACTGCTATCTAGTCTACTCTTTTCTCTCCTTTTCTGGTATTTTTCTTCATTTCGGCTTTGCACTTGTACTTTGCATGCTGTTAGTATTAGGCTTCGTTCCCTCCTCTATCTACTCTCTCATATCTTCTTTCATTTCTTTTTCTTTTGTGCTTTCAATATTGATGTTCTTTAGCTTTTATTCAATTTCACTCTTATCCCCCCCCAAAAAAAAACAAAAAACTTGTAGCTTTTTCTCTTGATTGTCATAGAATTCTTTGTAATGACAAAAGTACACAGGTGTAGGCTTCAAGAAAGCTTTATTCAACTGCGGATATTTATTTTTGTTTTTACAGGAAATATGGCACAAGGCCAAAAAAGGGGAAGGAGGGAGTCTTCTTCTGTCTTAACTTTAAACTTAGCTAGCCACAAACGCTGACCCAATCATGTAAACAATATTCCTTACACCAAAACAACAGATTCTTACGTATCTTTCTCACCACATCCACCATAATACTTGAATGTCTCCATTAAAATACTAACTAGTCCCCATATGTACAATTCATCGTCTGTGTGTGTGTGTGGTGGTGGTGGGGAAATAAAACAATTTTAAAAACTGGCCCCAATGAGTATTTAATGCCGACAACATTTTTATAGATGGCAATATGTTTTTCTTCAAAAATCTATTTCTGGGAATATTTTTCCTTGAAGGAATCTATTTCTGGGAATATTTTTCCTTGAAGGAATCTATTTCTGGGAATATTTTTCCTTGAAGGAATCTATTTCTGATAATATTTTTTCCTTGAAGGAATCTATTTCTGGTAATATTTTTTCCTTGAAGGAATCTATTTCTGGGAATATTTTTTCCTTGAAGGAATCTATTTCTGGGAATATTTTCCTTGAAGGAATCTATTTCTGGTAATATTTTTCCTTGAAGGAATCTATTTCTGGGAATATTTTCCTTGAAGGAATCTATTTCTGGTAATATTTTTTCCTTGAAGGAATCTATTTCTGGGAATATTTTTTCCTTGAAGGAATCTATTCTGGGAATATTTTTTCCTTGAAGGAATCTATTTCTTGGTAATATTTTTCCTTGAAGGAATCTATTTCTGGGAATATTTTTTCCTTGAAGGAATCTATTTCTGGGAATATTTTTCCTTGAAGGAATCTATTTCTGGGGAATATTTTTCTTGAAGGAATCTATTTCTGGTAATATTTTTTCCTTGAAGGAATCTATTTCTGGGAATATTTTCCTTGAAGGAATCTATTTCTGGGAATATTTTTCCTTGAAGGTGTAAATATTTTCCTTGAAGGAATCTATTTTTGGGAATATTTTTCCTTGAAGGAATCTATTTCTGGTAATATTTTCCTTGAAGGAATCTATTTCTGGGAATATTTTTTGAAGGAATCTATTTCTGGGAATATTTTTCCCTATTTCTGGGAATATTTTTCCTTGAAGGAATCTATTTGGGAATATTTTTCCTTGAAGGAATCTATTTCTGGGAATATTTTTCCTTGAAGGAATCTATTTAGAATATGAAGGAATCTATTTCTGGGAATATTTTTCCTTGAAGGAATCTATTTCTGGGAATATTTTTCCTTGAAGGAATCTATTTCTGGGAATATTTTTCCTTGAAGGAATCTATTTCTGGTAATATTTTTCCTTGAAGGAATCTATTTCTGGGAATATTTTTCCTTGAAGGAATCTATTTCTGGGAATATTTTTCCTTGAAGGAATCTATTTCTGGCAATTTTTTCCTTGAAGGAATCTATTTCTGGGAATATTTTTCCTTGAAGGAATCTATTTCTGGGAATATTTTTCCTTGAAGGAATCTATTTCTGGGAATATTTTTCCTTGAAGGAATCTATTTCTGGTAATATTTTTCCTTGAAGGAATCTATTTCTGGTAATATTTTTCCTTGAAGGAATCTATTTCTGGGAATATTTTTCCTGGAATATTTTTTTCTATTTCTGTAATATTTTTCCTTGAAGGAATCTATTTCTGGGAATATTTTTCCTTGAAGGAATCTATTTTATTTTCCTTGAAGGAATCTATTTCTGGGAATATTTTTCCTTGAAGGAATCTATAATTTTTCCTTGAAGGAATCTATTTCTGGGAATATTTTTCCTTGAAGGAATCTATTTCTGGGAATATTTTTCCTTGAAGGAATCTATTTCTGGGAATATTTTCCCTATTTGAAGGAATCTATTTCTGGGAATATTTTTCCTTGAAGGAATCTATTTCTAGTAATATTTTTTCCTTGAAGGAATATTTTTCCTTGAAGGAATCTATTTCTGGGAATATTTTTCCTTGAAGGAATCTATTTCTGGGAATATTTTTTTTTGGGAATATTTTTCCTTGAAGGAATCTATTTCTGGGAAATATTTTTCCTTGAAGGAATCTATTTTGGGAATATTTTTCCTTGAAGGAATCTATTTCTGGGAATATTTTTCCTTGAAGGAATCTATTTTGGGAATATTTTTCCCTGAAGGAATCTATGGGAATATTTTTCCTTGAAGGAATCTATTTCTGGGAATATTTTTCCTTGAAGGAATCTATTTCTGGGAATATTTTTCCTTGAAGGAATCTATTTCTGGGAATATTTTTTTCAAAGTATGTATAGTTGTTTGTATTGCTAGTACTTTTTTAAAAAGTATTGCTGATAATTTTTCCTTCAAAAATTATTGCTGGTAATATATTTCTTTATTATAAAGTATTTCTGGTATTAAAACCTATTTTTACACAAGTTTGGGTATCAACTATTTGCCCATAGCTAGGACCCTAACAGGTGCTACCACCCCGGGCCAGGGAGGACCTGGGAACGCCAGCAATTAAGAGCCCGCGCTCCTCAAAAACTCCTGATCAGAGGCCTTGTTCTTGGACGAAGTTTATCGTCTTACCCGAGACGCGGATGTAATTTATCGTCATACCCAAGACGGGTTTAACCCATCCCCACTGTTCTCGTCCTTGCGTAACAACTTGATTACGCCCCTGATGAAGCGTTCATCCAGCCGAAAATCAGTGCCAGCAAGGGAACAAAAACGGGTGACTGCCTCAAGTACACTTCGTAAGGAAGCCCATCTAATCCCGGAGATTTGTCTAGGTCAACCTTTTTCAGCACTTCCCAGATTTCCAACTCTGTAATGGGATCCTCGCACGTAGCCGCTTCAGTAGCCTCAAGGCAGGGAAAGTCAGCTAAATAGGCATCGGACTATGCAGGGCTCAGACCGGGCTCCCTGGCGAAAGGTTCCTGAAAGTTATCTCGAAAAGCCTCACATATGACCTCGTTTGTGGTCACGGTCCGTTTATCCGGCAATGTGACGCATGCGATATGTCGCCGAGATGCATTCCGAACCTCTTCTGCACGCAGTTCAGCGGCCATATTCGTTGCCTCAGAAGACATTCTTTTTAACCTAGCCCTAACTACCAGAGCTTGATCCTTCTTGATAAGCAAGGAAGCCAACTCTGCCTTAGCTAAACCTACATCCCCACTATCACGGGATTTAATCGCCCGATCAACTTTTTGCTCACAAGCCGTTTGCACCGCTAATCTGTCTAGATTCAGCCGACGACGATAATCAGCAGCAAATGTTGTAATTTTAGATTTAATCCCACCAGGTATTTCCCACGACAGCCCCCGTCAATTCCCTCTGTATCATTAGTAGCAGCTGGTCCCGGAAATCTTGCTCCCCAAATAATGAGCAGTTTAATTTCCAGTAACCAGCCATTATTAAGATGGCTGGCTACTGGAAATTAAACTTATCTAAGTTTACACGGACCCGGACTAGCCTATGATCCAACTAAACTATATAACGGAAACTTGGACACAATAAGAACCCTACATCGACTCTTCTAAGACTCGGTCGAGGTAGCTAGAACGCACCTCAGTAGCCGATCCACCACTATTAGTCCAAGTCCTCACTACCTCCCGAGGGTGTTCATTTCGGTACTTATCGACAAGATCAAACTTGTCGATCAAGTCCCGAAATAGTTTCACATTGCCGGTTGTTAGTACCCGAATTTGACCCTATGCGATCTATATTGGGGTCAAGGACGGCATTCCAATCCCCCGCTAAAACTACCCGACGAGATAACGCCAAGAACGGCTCGATCTGCCGAAACAAAGCAGGCCGCTCAAAATGCTCGTTGGGCGCATAAACCCCAATGAGACGTAGAGCCTTATCCTTTATGGTAACATCCAGCACGCAAAGTCTGCCCGCCGGATGTAATAGACGCGGTCGCAAGGGGATTTGGGTCGACCGGGGCCAGAGTTTCAGAGGCCTTCTTCTCTGTGCAGGAAGAGGACAGGTGATCTGTCTGTCCCCACTTCCAGCATGTCGCTCTATACCCGGTGACAATGATTGGCATCTTCTGGCCCGCTACATCCAGACAGTTGGGGATGGAGATGAAGGCTTTCCAGTCTATCATGATCTCAAAACTCCATCCCCCGGTCAAATCGTCTGAGGAAGGACTGAGTATCTGCCCAAATTGGACAGGATAAGCGGCCAAGTGCTCCCCGACGATCTAAGGAGGAACCCAAATACTGATACGTTGGTCTTCTGCCTGCCTTCATATTCTGTACGCAGAATAAAGTCCTTATTAGATCACGACTGGAAACGGCTTCACAGTCTGCAGGCATGGGTAGCAGTACGTCCCACATGAAAAATCTTTTTCCTTTGATAACCCTCTGGTATTTGATCCCCAGAGAAATTTAAGTCTCAATAACGGTGTCTTTTGTGGAGCGACAATATATATATATATATATATATATATATATATATATATACAAAAAACAAAAGACAAAACTTTTCAAACAATCAACACAGATTTGATCAAGTGGTCAGAAACAAAACAAAATAAAAGGAAATAGGGAAAAAAATACAAAAATTTAGGTATACACAAAATAATACAGTTAACAATTACAAAAACAAGCAAGGACTCGCAAAAATACACAAAGGTAAAACAAGGTTCGCTATACAAGGAAAAAGAAAATGCTAGAAAATACAAAACGCTAAATATGTATCAATTCACAATATGGCTGCCGATAAAAACCGGTCAATCCTATAACAAAGCGACAATGAAAAAAATGGACCAAATATACAAAATAAACACAAAATTTACAAACGAATATATTACAGACGAAAATTAACAGATAAAACACAGAACTTTATGGATATTTAAAATAAAAACACAGA